ATAAAGAAGTTGAAGAGCAGTTGGCCCAGGATTGAACCCTGGATGGAGGTAACCCCACTAGTTATCTCCATCCAGTTTGAGAAGATGCCATTGATAAACACTCTGTGTCCACTTCAGTAGCCAGTTTTGGATCTACCTAATAGTTTTTCCATCTAGTCCAGTTTTTGCTCATTTTCTTATCAGAATGTCATGTGGCACCATGTCGAAAGCTTACACTCCAAGTTTTTCAAGACAACTGTGACCTTTTGGGGGCGGGGAGTTTATAAAATGAAACCAAAGGACACCAAAGTGCAAGTGCTTTATGACTATTTCTTGAATCAATCAACATATCTTGCACACCATTAAAGAATGCTTATGTTATCTTCTGCTTTTTATAGGCATCTTTATTAAATTTACTGTCTAATGATACATATGTTTTGCAAGCAAAGGCATCTGCTTCACTGAAAGATTTAAGTCACCTTCTGCAATCCAAGCTTCCTACTGGCAAAAGGCAGGGGAGGTTAAAAATTACATTACAATTTGTGTCAGCATGCAAGTTGGAAAGCCATTGAATCTACAAGCAATCAGCTTGCGTCAAAAGATCATTTCACCTAGATATTTCTGGTGGTTAGGTAAATCTTCCAGCATTCCAATACTGATGATGACAGATCTACAGTAGCCCCAGCCAAGCAGCAAAGAGGTAGCTAGGAAAGGAATTCCCATGTTAATCACATCCTGATTTATCCACCAGAACTATTTTTACCTGCTTCCTGCTATGCATTGGAAACTGCAACATTTATTCATCTTCTCTTGTTTTCTTCTTCAGTATATCAGTCATTCTTTCTAACCACAGTGGCTGCCACTCAACTTTTAATACACAGCAAAGCCTTTATCAAAGGACAAGTTGTGTTTTTGTAAAGAAAACATTGTTCATTCTGAAATGTATTTCTAGATGGCACAATACAGTTCAATTTAGATTTCAGTCCTATACACAGTCACCTTGAAGTAAGCACCACTAACCCAATTGAACCTCATTGAGTCATTAGAATAATTAAGCCTATGTTAGTTCTTCCTAATTAAAATCAACAAGTTTTAAATTAAATTGAATTATGCCCCATTCTTTATATTTCCCTTCTTCCAAGGAACTTGAAATACTATTTTGGCACAGCTCATATGTCACAGCTACCCAAATTAGATAACTGAATACATGGGAGCAAGCAAGGGTGCTGGATCTCAGCCAGCAGACCAACCATTTCCACTGTGATAGCCCAAGGTTGTTTACTGAGACATCCCCACCCAGAATTCTGAATTCTTGTGGAAGACACAACCCAAAATTTGAACCAATAACCATGGATTGTTTATTACAGTGGGAGAAGGTTGGTGGCTGGAAACAAGTACAATTGTTCAGTTTTGCATCATTTTAAACAACACTGACAACACATGATTGGATCGTTGACAATGTGCAGACAAAGACATTAGCTTCTCTTGGCATTGGTGGAAATATACACTGGTGCAATCATGAAGTTCAAAGCAGCAGGAAAGACACTGAATGAGTGAGCCAGGCTAGGGCTGGCCAGTCCTGATATACCTCAGAAAACGTAACAGGACTAGTTCAGACTAGAACTAAGTACATTTCATTTGGATTTAGCCATTCCGGAATCACTGACAAAATGTTCTTGTTGCAAAGAATTTCTCATAGCTCCTTCATGCACTTGAAGATGAACAAGCTGTTTCTGGATAGATAATTGTAAGATCCAAAGTGGACTGAACCCACCCAACTGCTTATTTGCTTTCAAACACATTGTTTTCTTACTTGGCCACCACTGGCTTTCCTTTCAACAAGCAGTACAATTATGGAACAATTCTATGCATGTTTAGAATGAAAGAAAAATATCCTACAGGCCCAACAGTCTCCAGCCAGCCCTGCTAGCTGTGGAATGCTGGAGTTGGAGAGTCTTTTCCTGTCTAAATATGCATAGGAATGTATCTTTAATTACTTATATAAAAGTGTGTCTTTCTTGCTTGATGTATTGGAGAAGATATGAAAGTGGGGAATACGTGACAGTGCTCTTTAGCAGATAATTGGTTTAGAGTCTGGAGAGACCCAAGTTTATATTCCCACTCAGTCCTGAAGTTCACTCAGGGATGTCTCACTCCTACCTTACAGGGTTGTTGGATAGATAAAATGAGGAGCATATATGCATTCCACCCATCCTTAAGTGAACAGTTGGTATAACAATAGTTGCAACAAAATAGAAATATTAATGTCACCCAGTGCATAAGAAATAAAGTTTAAAATTTCAACAGGTAAACTCATCCTTTCAGGCTTATTGGGCTGCATGATACTCCTCTGATCCTCAAACACCAGAGCCACGTAAGAGCCACGTAAGACGCCACGTAAGAATAAATGCAGGGACTGGTAGAGACACAGTGCTTAGCTAATTGTCCTGCTCTTTTCTCTCTTAATGAGAACAAATGGGCTACTAAAACAGTTCCTGGAGAGATTAATGTGCTGCTTAAATGTCAGTTAAGGTAATTTATCTGTGAAGGGGACACCTGTGCCAAAACACTTCAAGGAAAAGCCACTCAAAATACAAGACAATAGAAAAAATTCTAACATCTAAGAGCCACTTCACCCTAAATTCCATATATCCCTTTAAAATTTGTATGCCAGTATTGTTATGTTTATCCCAGAATTTCAATTATCCATAAATGTGACGTAATGCACTGGTTGGTCCCAGGAAAAGCAAGATTCCTGACATTTACAGAGTTCTTGAAAAATAACAGAATTCTAATGGGAATTTTAATCTTGGAACTAGAGAGGAAAGAAACAGGCAGTGTACTAAGGGTCCAACTACATGTAATGCCAAGCACATCACTGGAGCTTGTTGTCTTTTAAACTATTTTATTACTTTTCTATACCACCAACAGCCAAAGTTCTCTGAGTGGTTCACATTATTTAAAAACATGTAATACAACAAGATAATGCATATAATTAAAGTTATAAATTACAGTAGAAATTAAAATTAAAAACCAACATCAAACCTAGCACCAGTTTAAAACTGCAAAATAGCATTTTAAAAAAACAATTAGTTTCCACAGGAGAAGAGTAAATCAGGAGCAGGTCCACCTGGCACATTTGGAAGGAGGTTTAAACCTCCTGTGCAGAAGTCCTAGGTTACTTGGTCCAATAATATTACATGCAAAAAGCAACTTGGAACTATTATATGGATCTACAGTGTGAAGTGGCTACAAGAAGGGCTGATGCTATTTTGGGCTACCATGTGAAGTACTAGCTCTCCTATACTCAGCATTCATTAGGCCTCATCCTGAGTACGATATCCAGTTCAGTTTAGTTTAAGAAGAATGCAAAGAAACTGGGAAAGGTTTAGGGGAGGGCAATAAAAATGACGAAGGACTGGAAACAAATCTCTGTGAGGAGAGACTGGAAGAACTGAGTGTGTTTAGCCTTGAGAAGGAAAGACTGATGTGAGATACGTGAGCCCTGTTCAGTATTCAGAAGGTTGTGATACAGAGATGTTAGGGACGCTTTAACTTGGAGTCCTGTATTTAATGGTGTTGGACCTGAAGGACTTATGGCCCGTTCAAACTACCAATCTGTGATACTGTGAACCTTCTCCAAAGCCTGGAAGAAAAACTTCCATTGGCATCAATGGAGATTTCTCTCCTGAGCCAAATTCCTGTTTTAGGAGTACAGCATTTTCACACTCCATGATCAGTGAGGTTAAGAAAACACTGAGAAATGCAACTTCTAGTTATGAACTTAACACTGCCACAGTCTAAGATCTCTGCTAATCACACAATTAAGCAGGCATAAAGACACTCTTGAACTTGCATTAAAACTTGTTTTAAAAAGTACTTTCTGGATGTCACCAAAATGTTTAACCCTGAGGCACCACTTCAAGTTTTAAAGGGCAGGAAGAAACAAAGTTTAGAGGAATCATACCAGAGTTCAATTACCATCATTTAAATATAAGAGTCTGTTTCAGAAAGACTACTATTCTTGCAGTATTGCAATGTGATTGCTCTTGGGGTTCCTTGTGTGAATGCACAACTTGGCTTTGTCTGCGTTCAGATGATCATTACCACCAAAGTAGCTTAAATATGTCATTGTGATTTGTGTCATTTGCCGGCACCCATGGGCACTGGTTTTGTAACTCAGATTTCCTCATATGTTGTCCTTTTTATCTGAATGCACAAGTGTAAAACAGCCCATGTGCTGTGGATGGTTTGTTAATCATGCCCACAAGCCAATTTCTCGAGATTCACATGACAAAACAACCTGGGAGGTAGACAGGGTTACAGAACAAGTGCTCATGAGCTGCAAACCACAGTGGCTTATTTAAGTCATTCTGGGTGGTGATGATTGTTTGAACTCAGTCACATTAATCTGTTTCCTTTCATTTTGTTTTAAGCAATGGTTATATATTTGTCTCCTTAAGTTGTTCATGTTTATTTTAAGGTAGATTGCTTTTTTAAACAAATGTTATACATTTGTTTTAAAACTCTTCCAAGACAGAGAGAGAGAGAGAGAGAGAGAGAGAGAGAGAGAGAGAGAGAGAGAGAACTGAAATCAAGATTAAAGTCTACTTCTTTGTTGGAGATGGGAGGTTTAGTAAATAGGCCTTAAACTTAAAATCATATGAAGGCTTAAGTGTTATATCAATTCAACTGATAAAGAACTTAAGAACTCACATATGGTTTTCCAGGATCAAAATCATGGTTGGGGGATTCTTGTTTGAACACCCAGCCTAGCTCAGCCCTGCTTTCCAAGAGTTTGGAAGCACTCTATTTTGAACATGACTGAAGATTTTCTTTACTAGTATATTGTAACTATAGCATGCCATAGGAAGTGAAATAAAACATCAGGGAATCAATGAACCAAAATATTTATGTGCCTCTTCAGCAGTTGGTACTTAACAGGAGGCTACTTAAAACATGTTGTGGTATGCTTCTTTAATTTCCTGTAGCAAAAACAATAAATGTCCATCTCCTTGCAGGTGCTTCGGGTGGTTCGACTTATAAAGATTTCTCCTGCCCTGGAAGACTTTGTATATAAAATTTTTGGACCAGGAAAAAAACTTGGAAGTTTAGTTGTATTTACGGCCAGCTTATTAATTGTGATGTCAGCAATCAGTTTGCAGATGTTCTGTTTTGTGGAAGAACTAGACAGATTTACAACATTTCCAAGGGTGAGTATAAAAAGCACACACAATCCAATAGATAAGTTACACAGCTGTCCTTTTTCTTACAAATGCTTTTTTAATTCCAGTTTTGTTAATGCCAGCTGTTAGGAAGGTGTTAAAAATATTATGTTCTTCTTGTGCGTTGTTGGTGGTTGCTGCTGCTGCTGCTGTTTTTCTCATTGCCATTGCTTTGTGGTACATACTGTGTAAATATGTACAAATGCCTTCTGAGTATTTCTTTTATTTAGTCTGAAAATCTATGCTCCCTTCTGGACTGAAAAAGCAAAGGTGTTGCCAGCCATTCCAGGATTATCATAGTGATTGATTAGCAGAAAAGGGCACCTTAGTACAGACACATCAAGGAAGGAAAAGGTTATGTGGTCTGGCTCAAGGTGCAAATAATTTGATGGGCGCAATCTTGGCCTCCATGTCAGTTCCTGTTTTTTCCTCTGGAATGGTGGTAGCCAGAGGCACATCTCCAGTGAGTTTAAAGCTGTGGCATGGTGGGATTCTCATCTCTTGAATAATATCATCCTGGACAAGCAGATGCAAGAAGCAAGTGCAGAGTAGTGGTTAAATGCAAGGGGCCAAGTCTCAGACAATCGGCTTTCTAGTTCCTGGTCAGCCATGGAGCTAAGTAGCTGACTCTGGGCCAGTCACAGACTCTCAGCCCAACCTACCTCACAGGGTTGTTGTTGTGGGGATAAGATTGAGTGAAGGAGAAGGAGAATGATATAAACCACCTTGAGTTCTTTGTAAAAAAGAAAAAAAGTGGGATATAAATCTAATGAATACAGAAAGAATGCAAAGGCTGCAATCCTGTACACACTTATGCGGCAGTAAGCCCCACTGAAAATAGTGGGACTTACTTCCAAGTCAACATGGCTAGGGTTGCACTCCCAATATTCACTAGGAATAACAACGTGCAGGTGACATATTTATTTGGTTGGTACACCTGCTATACCAGCCTTCCTCAGCCTGGTACCCTACGATATGTTAAGCCAAGACATCTGGAGGGTACCTGGTCAGGGAAGGCTGCTGTCAAGATATAAACCTCTGTGTCAGTTTATTGCTTGCTGTATTGCTTGCATGGCTGTTTTTTCTCCATTTAAATGCAGTGATTTATGGGCAACTTGTACGGATACTGTTATGTACCACATCAGGTATTATGTATGCAAATATCTCCTAATATAACAATATCTCACAGGAGATACGAGTGCTAAGTGTTTACAACTAATAATTTATAACTATTTTCAGAAACAATTTTATATAAGAGGTCACTCTGTAAGTAGCTTATTGAAACTCTGATATGCCATCAGACTGAATATGTGACTGAAATGTCAGACTGATACGATATCGGACTGAAAATGGTTGCTCTTGACCTGAATATGATTTACACTTACGCTTGAAGAATAGTTAATTTATTCATAGCAGACTGAGAAATGGGAGTTCACTGGCCAATTGGTGCTAATGTAATTAGTGACATACTGCTTTGAATAAGAATACTGCAGTGTTCTCAACAACCTGCTAGACTGAAATCATACGGCACCCCAAATAAGTTATTGGCATGGGTTAATTTTACATTATCATTGGTTTCTACTGAAGAAATGATGACCAGAGCAACTAAACTGGAATGAATAAAGAAGTGCCACCATCATGTGAAAAAAGTTAAGCACTTGTTTCTAATTAGTTCCCAATATAGAAAATGTAGGATGGAAAGTGAGAGACGAAATATATTATTCTACCCACTCTGATGAAAGTAGAGTGTTTTCTTTTCCCTACATGCTAAGAAAAATGGTTTTAAAACAAGTGTGCTAGTATAATGGAAACTGAAAATGAACATGGTTAAAAATGCCCCTTTTCTTGCCCTTTTGGTTCTGGATGAAAATCCATAATCTTTTCTCCACATACTCCAGATTACTATTTATAATTAGAAAAACACTGTGAATGCACATGGCATGTTGTAAAGTAACAGACGTAGGGGAGAACCCCAACCCTGACCCAGACATGACTGAGCTGATAACAAGCAGGGAGCCTACAGTACAGTCATGAATACTGAGGGCAGGCAACAGTATTCTGCATTGCTGAAAGATATACAAATAATAATTATGGCGGTTACTAAGCTACAAGCATAAAATGGTTTCTAAATACATGAGATCTGTGAATAGATCACTGATGTCCCTGATGAGATGTCCATCACCATAACAGGTAGCTCATTTGTCCTCTAAGTCCTATTATTTGTCTCACAGACCCCAACCCTTTAGTGTCACAACCCTTTGTCATCTTTGTCATGACAGAGACATTTGTCTCTTTCAGAGTCTATGCCTGTTGCTCAGGCATCGCCTTCCTTTTCTCCAACATAAAGCAATTTGTTTTGCTTGACATGCTGTAGATAGAGTCATGGAGCCTTGGTATAGGAGAATGGCCTGGACATGGAAGATACCCAATGCTGCCCTGTACAGCCATTAAGCAAGAGCAAACATAACATCTTGGTGCCATGCTGACATGGTACCTTTCTGCTTTCCCCCCCCAATGCTAAAAAGCAAGTCCACTTAACCAAAAGAGAACAATTGATTATTTTTTCCCAATCATGTTGCTGCACCAGAAGGCTACAGGGAAAGCACTATAGAAACGTGATAGGTTTTTCTGAAAGAATTGAGAAGAAAAGGCACCAAACCTTCATTCTGTAATGCTTCTAAATTGCATGCTTTCACATAGTTACTTGACAAACAGTAAATAAGTAGAAGCTTAGAGTTACTATGGTTACCAAATACAGCATTTTCTGGTCCATTTTTGTCTGCATGGTCTAATAGATTTGTTTTCAAGTCAATATGGGGCTCTAAAATGGACTTCTGTAAAGTGTTTTGGTTCTTTTTTCTTCAATTTGCCATTTTTGAAACTATATCCAAAGTGAAGAAAATATGGAACATATTCGGTGGTATTTCCAGGTGATCATAGCCCTTGCTTAATGGTCTTATGGGGTAGAGGTAGTTTTTACATGACCATGTGTATTACTTCTGTTGTGAAATGCACAATTAAAACTTCTCTTTGCCCCCACACCCACCATTTCATGATTCACATTTTAATTCACTTAAATCTTAGCATGATCACGAACACAGTAATGTTTGTTCCCGCTGCCCTGGTCACCACTGTTCTCTGGGCAGCTGCAGCTGGTGCACAGTACTCTTAAATTTCTCTTTATGGAGCAGATACCATCTCAGGAGAAACAGCATCAATTTCATAGGGCTTCATTGCTACCATCAAGAATCCCATCTTCTTACACCTCAGTCTGAGAAGAGTGTGCTTATTGAAGGCTGCCATGTGCATCATAAGAGACATTCAGGGTGGGAAAGGGGAAATGTTCAGGATTTTAGCCCTCCTCAGACTCTTCCATAAACACTGGGTCAACACATGTTGGACAAATGAGGCCACACTGATTAGCTGCATGCATGTGACATAGAAACATAGAAACAGAGCAAGTCAGAAGGGGCCTCCCGGGCCATCTAGTCTGACCACCGGCACCAGCCAGCTCCACTCACAACATGCCCACCATGTGGACGTCCAGCCTATCCTTGAACACCCGCACC